TGGTGGGAACATAAACTGTTGCAGTCACTATGGAAACCAGTACGGAGGTTCCTCAGAAAACTTAGAGCTACCATCTGACCCAGCAAGCCCTCTTTTGGGTTTCCATGCACCAAAAATTGAAAACACTTATTCTTAAAGATGTATGTATCCCCGTGTTTACTGCAGCATTTAGTCAAGTAGTCTTAGATATAATTCTTACCTGGTAGTGGGCTGCAATGGAGTTCTTTCTCCTTCAGCACATTAGAAGGGATTGGATAAACTGAGTGCTTCTCAAACTTTAATGAGCAGATGAATCACCAAGGGCTGTGGTCGGCAAACCGCAGCTCGTGAGCCACATGCAGCTCTTTGGCCCCTTGAGGGTGGCTCTTCCACAAAATACCACAACCTGGGAGAGTCTATTTTGAAGAGGTGGCGTTAGAAGAAGTTTAAGTTTTAAAAATGTGGTTCTCAAAAGATATTTGGCTCTGGACTGATAAGTTTGCTGATCAATGACCTAGGGAGAGGTGGTAAATTGGTCTGGAATGTAGACTGCGAATTTGCATTTTTAATCAGCTCCCAGGTGAAACCTAAACACAGTGTGAGTAGCAAAAAAAACTAAAGGATGGATAAATACAGGGAATACGGTATATAGATGTAGATGTGTTTTTATGACCTGCACAACATTGAGTCCTCTCTTCTGGCAGTGACAGACTGACTTTCCTTTGAAGGGAACATTTCCTCTCCATGATTTGTTCATGTAGTCCAACCGCCTGTGACAGTTAGATCTGTAACTGCAGCCTGGCCTATTAGCACAGGGGAACAGGTGACTCAAGGTCAATGATTTCTCAGGCCCTGGCTTTCAGCTAGAGCTACTGGAATAAGGCTTGCTTTGCAGGTTGCACAGCCTGGAGCTTCTAGTGACCATCTGGAAAGGGATGCCTGCATGAGAATGAAACCAACACAGAGGAAGCAGAAAAATTCCTCATGACATCTTCTGAGTGCCTGAATTCATTGATGCCTGAGCCATACTCCTGCCTCCTTGGTTACTTGAGTCAATAAGTTTGCCTCCATGCTTAGCCAATTTGATTTGAGTTTCTGTCACTTGCAACAGCCTTTGCTAATACAGTGGTGGTAGGATCTGACATGGTAGGAATGTAGCCGATAATTATGGCCTTCTCTTTACAATGTTCCTTGCTTGGATTGAACAATATATATTGCATTTCTATACAAACAAGGAACACACACACACACACACACACACACACACAATTTTTCCCAGAGAAGAAACAATCTGAAACTATAAATCAGATGACAAGCAATTTTATTTTGCAAAACAATCACTATACAGCAACAAATACATTTGCAAATTTTGATTGAAAAACATGAACTAACTACAATCAGCCATTGAAGAAATGCCTTTCTATGGTAACAGGCTCTAGAGTTATCAGAAGAAAGAAACCCCCCACAGATTTGTAGCGGAGTGTTGGAACCTTGGGATCCCAGCATACAGAGTATACTTTTTGTTGATTTTTTTTTTCTTTTTGCTAAAGTTGAAGTAGTTTTTTAGCTTAAATATAAGCTTTTTCTGGCAGAGGGACTTGGCCTCAACCTACACACAGAGGTTACAACTCCTAGGCCTAGAAAAACAAACATCAATGCTGAATTTACCACATCGATCTTGGAAGGAGTGCCTAGAATTTGCCTTTCCAAGCCATGAATCTACTTTATTTATTTATGTTGGCTACTTAGACCACGAATAGTTTATTTACCTCCTTTTTGGGGCATGAACAATATGAGAAAAACTATAATTATAGCTACGCCAGAAGTAAGCACATTGAGATTATTTCTTTACTATGACTGACATGTTATACTTTGGTTGATGATCCCATTTCTTGCTGTACCACTATAGAAGTGTCTGAAGAAGCCAGCTACCATTAGTATAGCCTTCCATGTAAGCAAATTCTCTCTTTAACCTTCTTCAGCCATAGGTAGTTGGAGTTACACAGGCGTCTTGCTTGTGGGTGGGATTTCAGCCCATCGCCCTGCTGGAACTCAGCAGGAGGATCCAGAGAGAGTTGGTTCCTAAATGAACACGGCCTTTGAAACTCATCGTAAACTCGGGTCTTTCCTGCATTGTTACAAGGTACCCAATTCCCGGCTGCAGGTGACCCAGAGAGGGTGAGTTTATTGGAGACGTTGGCCTTTTAACTCTTCGCAGCTCTGGATTTACTTATGTCTCCTGTAACAGGTTCTCAAAGGCGGAAGCCCAGGAGAAACTGGCATGAATAGATCTAGAACTGGCACTATGAAGCTGTAGTTTCTAGATCAGCGTATGGATGCCCCCACAAAAGTGGTGTTCAAAAAGCTTATTTGTGTCGTTAACCTTGAGGGTGAAGGCAAGATGGGTTCCACCACTTATCCCCATAAGAAGACATTTATCCTGTGTTTCTCCCTTTTACTGGTACAGAGAATCAGGTTTTTCATTGTTGTTGTTATTAACATTGTAGAGAATCACATTTCCATACCAAGGAAGAGCACTTATTCATTATAATTTTTCTGTGGTTTGAAATGAACATGTGTTTTAAATGCCAAATCTAAGAACGTAATGCTTTACATAATTTTTATTTTAGACACGTATTTTTAAGAAACTGAATTATAATGTGGAGAGATGTTCACTTATTCTTAATGTTTATTAAAAATTAAACCAAGTTGAAAAAACAAACAAACAAACCTGTTTCACTTGTTAAAACTGTTCTAATCAGTTAACTTCTTTCTACCGAACTTCAATCACTACCTAACACTATCAAACATGTAAGAAAATACCATGTTTCCACACGACTATTCTTTCCTCTATTTTCTGGTGCATGTCAAGGGAAGCTGATGGATAAAATGCCCAGATTGGTCAAATAAAACCTCACAGCAATTATTAGGCAGAAAATAGGCACATCCATTGTCCTCCTCAGTAGTTTCTATCTTTTTTACTGTTCTATGAAGTGACTGATTCAAACATAGTTTCCAACATGTTTGCCTACGTAAAGCCTTTTCTTGGAGAGTGAATGGAGGGTGGATGGTGCACATTTGCTCCTGGAGTTTCTTTCTGTGGAAGTCACATTGGTTCCAATGTTCAATGAGTCACAAAATGTCACCTGTCTCTCTCTGTTACTGCATTGCTTGAATTCTTTCTTAGATGTTACTATTCTTCCTTTTTGCCTCACCCACACTCATCATTTCTTTCTTTATATTCATGAATTGGTTTGGCTCAAACAGATCAAACGCCTACCAGATCATTTGCCTGTAACTGTTCATAATCCAACCTACCAGTCCTGAGCAAGAAAATGAATAGATAAAATACTAAATGCACCCACCCAGCCTGGTAACGAATTGCCTTATCAGGCCATTGACTAGTGAATTGTTTCTTCATAAGTCTAAGATGGATGATTTATGAGAGGAATTAATTCATTGATTTGTGATTTCTAGACTGTATGGAAAGTCAAACATATTATATACTCATAAGAAATGCTAAGTCATACAGTATTCCTTTAAACAGTGTTGGAATCTTGAATAAAATGATTTTGATATCTGCATCTCAAGTATTTTGTAGCTATAGCTTCTAAAAATACTGTATTTTTCCTTTCCGATCAAGGGACCTTTACTTTGGGGAAGGAAGCCAAATCTCTTCTGTCAGATAGTTTAATAAGCAGGTCCTACTTGGAAGAATGGGATACCATGCCCCAAACTCCCGCTGTTAGTTTCAACTTTAGCAAATGGAAAAAAAAAGAGGAAGAAGAAATATTAATAAATCTTTCATGAATGATTACAGAAATAAAACCCAAACTATTCTGTGACTCAAAATAACTGAAATCCATAATTTTAAACCAACAATTTGTAAACCCTTTTATGTATAACTGGACTCACCCCCACAAACTCAGAAAACAAAGAAAAACAAAATCTTCTAGCATCACGGGAGAGACTTGTATCTGGCACTATAACAGGGTTACAGCTTTGAGTTGTTACAGAAAGCAACATCATGCTAAAACTTTTTGTCTTTTTTAATGTATTTTTTTTTTAAGTAGGGAAAGAACCCTGCTAACGTCTACTTTCACATACCTAAAATCGCAACACCAAAGGGTGCAGGAGACACAGATACTGTGAATAAGGAAGTATAATATTCAAGTATATGAGGAAGTATCACAAATGGCCACAGAGAAATATATATATATTTATATCTATAATACTGTATCAAACAGATGGAAAGGGGGTGTGAAACTGGTAGTGTGGACACAAATCTAGCTGATAACTGACATTCTAACCAGACATGAATCTGTCCTAGTGTTAGTGCCTCATTCTTAAGAGAGCACAGTTGCACCACTTCCTTAACTGCAGCTCAAATGCTTCGTAACTATTTTTTTTTAATCAGTTAAATAATTTATGGAATTGACTTATACTCTGATATAATTATCCAGGTCCCAAATGTTAATAACTTAATTGCATCTTTCTTCCCATTTATACAAAATAACACCTTTAAAAAAACACACCGTATTTCTTACATGCTCTTCCCTTCTTGCCATCAGACTCCTTGATTTATTTTTAACCGGCAATAAGTTACAACGTGAAGCTTTTTGTTGTTTCACCCAGCGATAGCATAGTGAGATGAGCAGCTTGGATGTTAACAAGGCCTTTCAGAATGTGATGGATAGCCTTCAGGCACATGAAAGGTGAAAATGCAATTTTTTTTTTTTAAATAATAATACTCCATGCATAAACAGAGCAGAGCAAAAAGAATCGCCCAATCGTACTTAGGTAAAGCCAGTGTCTTCTGTTGCAAATGGAAATCAAGGCAATTGCTGCGTATGCTATTATTCCTGTTCTTAAATATAAAATTGTAACCGTTACTAGAGTTTGGGAATGAGATTGTATTTATTGTACGGTTGGTAAAGAATAAACATAACATCTGCTCAGAGCCTACGCCTGCCAAGAGCTCATGCCTAAATAGTATTACTCCGACGCTGAATGAGAGAGATTCACAAGCCCTGCTTGGCGAGCGCGGCAGTGACGTCCTCGGCCAGGGTGGCCAGCTGCGGGGACTCCAGCAGGTTGATGCTTCCCGAGGAGGAGACGTTGCTGAGTCGCCGAGGGGAGGCCACGCTGGACCTGCCTGGGGACTGCGTGATGATCTCTGCTCCGTGGTCCACGCGGGCCTTCGCATGCTCTCTGAAGTTCAGCTTCTGGCTGTCAATCTGGTGGAGACAAGCATCGGTCCTTGTTAATCTAAGCATCCTAACTAACCCCTAGATCTCTTTCTGTATCCCAGAGCTAATGGGAAGGTCACTTCTACTCAATGCTGCCATCCCTGCTTCCCATGTGTGCAGGTCTTTAATCTGGGACCCGTGGTGATGAAGAGTATTTCAGAGGAATTAAAACAAAACAAAACAAAACAAAACAAAAAAAAAGCGAGACCGCACATGACCTTGTTTCTTACCTTGACATTACCACCTCCAGGTACGTGGTGAGCGTTGTCCAGCGAACCGACTTTAGCTTGGGCCTTTTCTTTGAAATCCAGTTTTACACTCTCAATCTTCACACGTCCACCACCTGTGTGAGGAGAGAGGCTTTAAATGCCTTGCTAAAATGAAATCTTCTATTAGTGGTGATTCTTTCTCAAAAATGATTATGGTAGATAGACCATTGTAAACCACAAGCTTAATTAACTCTACTAGCCTCTGACCATAGATGTGAAAAAAAAAAATCCTTTAAAATTTCTAGTCCATGCCATTTCCCACATGTCATCCAAATTAATGACATCTTTTTTGGTACCATGATATGGATCGCTTTACATATTAATACCTTTCTCCTCTATCCATTGTAACATAAGATATCAGAGGGGCTTCTCTTATCTGTATGATAAATAATCTGTGACTGCAGATGCTGACCTGTTTCCTTCATATTCTTCATATTTCCTTCATATTCTCCACATTCCACGGTAACCTGGTGAAAAGCTTGCTATTGTCAAGGATCATTGTGCTAACACTTCTTTATGAATTTAGTCATCTGATTCAATTATTACAGAGGAGCTAGATTTAGGAATAGGTGGTAGTCCAGGACAATAGTCTTTCATACCAGTAAATCTCTGCACAGAATATTTCCTTGTCTAGGTAAAAATTTTCTGTGCATCAAGACCCCAGGTGAATTTGAATAATTGTATACTTACTATCTGGAATTAAAGAATGCAATATTTTCTTTTGTATTCTGGAAAATAATAGGCAGTGTGACCAAATACCTCAGTCAGACTGTTGACAGGGAAGTACCAAGTCAGCTAAGTATTTGTAAGTTTGAGTTATAGACAGGGGAATTGTGAAAACAGGCAGAATGGGGCCAAGTCCCTGCTGCCTCATGAATGACAGAGAAGCTAATGCCAGGGTAGCAGTTCTGAAACTACTAATAGAGGTTCCATATAAGTAATTTTAATTCTCTGACTTCCTTTATGAATACCCCTTGCCAAAGCAACAGCCTGATTTCTAGACATGTTTCTAAGGCATTTATCCATTTTAAATCTTATCCTACCTTTGTTTTTCAACTAATAAATATTTTTAATAATCTTCTCCTGATCAGCAATCTTACTGGGCTTAATGGTTCTTCCACCTTGTTTCTGATAACATGTGAGACAACATGAATGGGAACACTCTAATACCTGGTTTAATTAAGATGCTAAGCATAGATGATTAAAACCAACTGCTTCCTCATGTTATTCTACAATAAAATGATATATAAAAATTGTATCAAAATTTCTCAAGAAAACTACAAATTTGAGAGTTGTCCATTATTTACATATGAGTGGAGGTGGAATTTAGAAAAAAATACATGTAATACATTATACTCAGAAAAACAACTCGACATATTTTAGAATCACATTTGAAAGAGGGGAAAAATCCTTAGGAATTAAGAATATAAACTCTACTGTAAAGCATTAGTCCCATGACATATTCTAGAAAATCAAGAGGTCCATGGTCAAATATTAATACGTTGGAGAAGCATTTATATTCTGCTGAGAATTTACAGACCTCATTGACCTACTAAAGGACCTGCGAAATTCAACAGATAGGTAAAATTCTTCAGCTTTGCTTAACCACAATCCTTAATTTCACTTAACGTAGAAAAACAATCTCATGAAAAATCATTGGAAATGCTGCTTTAAGTCCATGTAATTATGTATGAATATGTGACCCAAAGCATTTTATAGACTATATATTTAGAAAGAGCCCCAAAAAGCATGTTGAGTACATAGAGATAAATGTATATTGTAATTTTTAACCTGTCCTATGATACATGGCCTATTTTTGGTAATTGAGTTTACCTATCCAAATGAAGATGTCCAAATTTCCAACTTAAGTTTCTCTATATAAAAGAATTAAGTGTCAGGATATTGAAATGTCCTTCCAATTGGGTATTTCACAACAACACAACCTTTGCCTATCAACTTGTTGAATCCAATATAATATTTCTCCAGCTACTAAAAGCATTTACTTACCTGGCCTATGGCGGATGTTCTTCAGAGAGCCACATTTGGATGTCACATGGCTTAGGTCTATCTTCTTAGTAACAATCTGTACCTGTATGAATCACACAAAAATGCTTAAAATACTGTAGATATGAACAAGCCCCCTAAATTCATACATCAAATCTAGAAACATGTCCAAACTCACAACACACTACAACATATCCAGGAACCCAATCTGAAGTACATACACACACAGGGCAACATAATCTCCCACATGTACTCCCACATGTTTGGTTGGAAAGAAGGACCCAAGTGGAAGAAAATCCTAAAACAGAATACTGTATTAGTAGAAAACAGATCATGCCACAAAGGGGACAGAAACACCTGGATTAATAAAGCAAGCACGAAGCCACATCATGTTAAACCTTTCCATAAGCAAAGAGCCAAGAGAAGAGGTAAATTATTTTTTCAAAAGTGATTTTTTACATAAAAGTGACCAACATTGCTCAGAGATACAAGAAAAACAGCGTTGCTTTATGTTACAAGAAGAAGAAAAAAAGCTGTTAACATGCTTTTCTAAAACATTATGTCTTGGCTACATGGAATTTTTCTTGTGCACCAGATTATTAACGAGAACAGTATTTTCTTGTTGTGTCTTGATGAAATGATTTTCTCTCCCAATATTTAGAATAGTGCTTCTCCAAGTGTGGCTCATTGTCCGTTGGCATCGGAAGTCTGTGGGGATTACTAAATTGGATGCTGTGGAAATGGGGCCAGGGACTTCGTGTGTTTGAGTAAGTGATTCTTCTCTAGAGGAAAATTTAAGATTATTGTTCTGGAAGTTGGAAGCTCACCTACTTATTTTAAGTTTGTTAGTTGTCTCAATTTGTCCCTTTTTACTTAGGTATTTTGGGTGCACCTTCTGATCACTTCAAGTTGTTTACTCCAACTGGCACTGTTTCTGTGGGAGTATCAGGTTGTGGGACTTACAGTTAGGCCAACAGGGCGGAGGGCAGCCATGTCCATATATATAGTGACCCTGAAGCTTAGCCCAGAATCCTTGGAAAAGTCCATCAAACCTTGTATGGATTTCCTCGACATATTTTAGAATCACATTTTAAAGAGGGGAAAAATCCTTAGGAATTTTTCCTTAGGAATCAGGGAAATTTTTATGCTCAGTGGATCAACTTTGAACATCAGGTGACTTGCTCATTTCTCCTTTCACTGCTCGACTCCATCTATTTCCAGTTGAGAAGCAAGGAGCCAAAAGTTAGACAGGTGAGAGTTCTGGTTTCTGTACTCTAAATTACTGGAGTCCTGAATGGCCAGAACCTAAAGTTTAGGTGACAGGATCTGGCTTGCGTTTGCCTGTTTCAATTCTGCCTCAACTAAGTTTGAGAGATATGGATTCATCTTTCCTTTCCTCCCTGGATATTATGTCCACTCAATTTAAGAGACAGGACATATGCCATTAAGACTTGTATGCCTGGACTTGAATCCTTTCACTTCAAATTAGATATGACCCACACTTCACCAGTTTTGTGTTATTCAAGGGATTTCTATCTCTCATGAATGATTTAGCTCAAAAGACTGACATCACACACCGGGTATTTTAAACTATATCAGTCTTTGCCTCAGGAGTAATTTAAATGGAGCCAGAAAAGTGTGTGCCCAGGTGACTTTTGCAAGGAAACAGAGATGGCATGAGGAAACAGCTTGGGCCAAAGGCCAGTAAACAAAATTGGCCAGTGAAGTGGGTTTTCCAACCCCCTGAAAATCATAGTGCACTCCATTAAGGTTTTTTCTTCAAATGAAAGCAAGAAATTTGTTGGTGATCTTAAAGGGAAGAATGAGAAACCCATCACCAAAAATGCAAGGCTGAGAAGCTACCAGATCAGTGGTTCTCAACCTTTCTAATGCCGCGACCCTTTAATACAGTTCCTAATGTTGTGGTGACCCCCAACCATAAAATTATTTTGATACTGTTAATGAATTGTAATGTAAATATCCGTGTTTTCTGATGGTCTTAGGTGACCCTGCTAGGGGTTCTCAACCTGTGGGTCATGAGCCTAAGACAGATATTTACATTACAATTCATTGATACAGTTGTGAAGTTCAAGGAAAATAATGTTACGGTTGGGGATCACCACACCATGAGGAACTGTATTAAAGGGCCGGGGCATTAGAAAGGTTGAGAACCACTGTCCCAGATCACGGGGACACGTGGCGCAGCAACAAGGCGGAGTGTGTTGGGCAGGAGGCAGGAAAGGAGACAGGGAGCTGGCTGTGCAGATGGCTCCACACAATCAGGACAGCTTTCCATCAGAAGCTTCTACTTACATTTCCGCCCCCGGCAGAATGTTTGATGTTATCCTTGGAACCACATCTGGACTGAACCTTGCTAAAATCGATCTTCTTGTTTAAAATCCTAACCTAAAAGGAATTGGAGGTAACTTCATTGTGCATTTTTCTTTTAATATGCTGGGTATAGGGAACCAGAAGGGGTAGTGCCGAAAAGGCTCCAAACTCCCTTCCACCTACATAATCATTTAAGAGAAAAAGGAACATCGGAACTAAAGAGCAGATCTATTGTATAAAAACGAGCCTCTAATGGTTTTGCACTCCCAAGGACCAAGTGCTCCCATGTGAAGGCAGGTATAATATGGAAGCAATCAGAGGAAGAGAAAATGAAAACTTGGACCATCTGGGAGGAGGAGGATTCCAATACTGTGGGCGCAGTGAGACTCAGGTATGCTCTACGGAAGGCCCAATAGTTCAGTGTAGTTCAGCCCAGGATCCTGAAGGATATGCCAGTGCCCTACCTGCCTCTCTTTAACCCTGACAGTGCCAGCATCACCATTATGAATCATTGTCACTTAATTGCATTATGGGGTCACTTAGCACAGGGTCTAGTGAACACTACAGGTGAGGGTCCTCATTCATTCAGGGGAAGAACCCCTGGTTTCCTAAGAAGGTCCACAAGGAGGCTCTGTGCCCTCCTGAAGGCGGGGCTCAGTGGCCTTTTGAAATGCCTCTCTGAAAACTGCTCACACACAGCCACTGCCCCTGGATGGTGGGTGTGGAAGCATTCTTTCCACCTGTGGAAGGTGGAAAACCAAAGAACTTTCGTTAGCTGACTCGTATTAGGTCATGTAGGCCTGGCCTCGGATGGGTCCAACAGATTTGAGGTTAGGTGTTTTATTTCTATGTTCAGCAAGTTCAGTTTTGTCTTGAAGACAATAGAAAATCCAGATCTGAGAAGATATTACTCTGGCATAATATACTAATGTGCAGAGTAAAACGCTTGTGACTTCTTTGATGTGCCTTTTGCATTCTGCATGGTGCAGAGGGCAGATAAGCAAAGTCTGCACAGAAAGAAAGGTTTATTTTTGTTGTTTAGTTTATTCATTTTATTATTTCTAAAGCTACTGTTCTTCCCTTCCCCAGATAGCTAAAGAGAAGTCACATTTTCAATGTTTTATGGGAAAGTTTATACCCTTATTTTTTTTTTAAAAAAAGATAAATTTCTTAGATATACACTGTGTTACATCTAGTATTACATCTCTTGATCTTTCAAAAAAAGGATAAAAAATTTCAAGAGGACATGAATCCTGACTATTTTTAACTAGACAAAGCTCAAATCGCAGTGCCTGCCTAACTAACACTGACAAGATAGCTGTCCCTTATAGGGAAATATCATTCGCAACTCTCATTGATAGCCCAAGGGAAGGGCCTCTTGTCAAAATCTGAATTCAGAAGACGTGATGATTGGGCCACACTCTAGGGCATAATAAAAATTCCAGTTTCATAAAAGGGGGTATATCACATACACAGTCTATTTCTAATAATAAGAGTATTTGTAAGCTAAGAATTTCATATAAACTATGATATACATACCGTAGAATCAATAAAGACTATTACATTTCAAACCACATCTAAAAATGTATTTTAGAAAGGAAATCATTTTTATTTATTATGCCTAGTAATACTTTTAATTTTTACCCATGAAGATCTAATTATTTGGCAATGAAATAGGCTTCACCTAAGCCAGTTTTTTCTCTCATCCTTAGGAATATACAGGGTCTCATACTGCATTAACAAATTTTAAATTAGAGATCATTAGATTACCAATCAAGCCACTCAGTACAGAGTGATCACAAGCCAAATGTTAACGCTGATTAACATGTTGCAAAAATGGAAATTCTAAACTTGGCTGCAAGAATCTGACTCTAACATTTAATCAACTTTTTGACAATTTTTATGATTGCCAAAACAAGTTATTCAACCCCAAAGGGATCACATTGCCTGCATTACGTAGAGATAATTTAAATCTTAAGATCTTAAAACTTAAATGTCGTCTTCTGTTGGTTTTTTCCTGGTGTTCTAGATAGTCACAGATTTTCTAGTGAAACAACTAGCTGATTCTTTTCAATGGTAGACTTTCTTAACCTATATTGGCTCAATCTATAATGTGAAGCTGACCTTTGACATGCATTAATGGTACATTCTTTACACACTTCCATACATGCAATAGCTACATAGTTTCTTTCTTTTGTCTAAAATGAGGCCAAGTATGACACGCACCATCTTGCTTGATGGCTAAGTAGACAAAACAAAACCCCTTTGCTCAGTGTGATTTATCCTCTAGCTTGACAACTTGCACTGAGTACCCACCTTGTCTGTGTGACTCACATTTATGCCTTAAAAAAATTACAAAATACTTCATGCCAAAGATTTCTAGGATCATTTGCATTAATTAATACTTAGAGAGTTGATTCCACAAATACCAGCACTTGTCACAAACCTTTCCATAAAATAAAATTAAAAAATAGATGGCTGCTGTGAAGGATAAAGTTTTGGCAATGAAATAGAATTATCCTTCTAGATTAGCTTTGTGTGTTGTGTGTGTGTGTGTGTGTGTGTGTGTGTGTGTGTATTTAAATCAGAGAGTTGAGTTTTAACTCTCTCTGTTCTATGGGAAGATCTAAATCAAATTTCTTTTATATGAATTTGCATTGAGCTTTTGTTTTCCTAAAGCATGTCAACAGAAAATTATTTTAGTATTTTAAAGACTGTCTAAAAATATAAATAAAGAACTTCTATTTGGCAAATTAACTGATTTTCTATATTCATGATATGGGAGAAAAATATTTGAATAATCATTACCCAAAATGAACTCTATAACACATTTTAACTTTGTTATTTTCTTTTATTCAAAATTTTATTTGCACTATTATTGCAAAATGGGGAGAAATGAAAGAGAGGCCATTTTTTCTCCTGCGTACTGCACAGTGGAAGTAAAATCAACTGGATCATCTTCCTAATGCTCTCCCTTATTCAAAATTCTCACCAACTCCCTATTGCCAATTAAATGCATCAACATTTTTCAGCCAGGCAGCCAGGGTTCTCAGAAAATCTGATTTTTGAGGCTTCTCTTAATATGTTTACATTTTGGGCCAGACTGTGTTTACACTTTCAAGTTCATCCCCAGGCTTTCATTCTGTTATTATCTCTTGCTAGTAGAACCTGTAACTGATCATCTTTCAAGGTTCAGCCCAATCAGCCCAGCCACACTGGAAGACTGGAAAAAAAAGGATTTTGGTATCATAGGGAAATATTGGTGACCTACTTGTATACATAGTTGACAAATTGCTATCATATTCTGAGGCAAACCATAGATATGAGATCTGAAAGTGACCTTATAGTCTATTTAATTTTTATTTTTGTTAATCCTCACCCGAGGATATTTTTCCATTGATTTTTAGGCAGAGTGGAAGAGAGAGAGAAAGACAGAGGGAAACATCGATGTGAGAGAAACACATTGATTGGTTGCTTCCTGCACGTGCCTGACCAGGGCTTGGGCTGGGGAGGAGCCTGCAACCAAGGTATGTATTCTTGACCGGAACTGAATCTGAGACCCTGTGGTCCTCAGGCTGATGCTCTATCCACTGAGCCAAACCAACTAGGGCATAGTCTATTTAAATGAGATGGTGCTGTATACAAAAACAGGTATTATTTTGTTGTTTCTATTCTACAAATTAAGAAATATGAGGACATAAGAGGTCAGTATCTTAGGTTATACAAAATTTAATAGAAAAGGGAGACCAAGAACTCAGCTTTTACATCGTGGTGCAATATTATTTATTTATTTATTTATTTATTTATTTATTTATTTATTTTTAATTTCTCTGTTGCCTAAGGTATTACATATCTGTTCTCATACCATTATCACTAAAATATACTCAGATGAGCTCGCAGTCAGGATCTAAAATAGAATGCTGCCAATTTATATCAGAAATGCAATTTTAATCTCTTAAGTTAAAATCTATAAGGTAATAGAGATATTTTTTAGAAAAGATCTGTTAGGCAACTAAAAAAAAGTTTCTCTTATATGGTCACAACAATTTTTATCCAATAGTATCCAGAAGAAATAAATATGTCAGGTGATTTTCATTATATTTTATACACTAGCTTTCTCAGATAAGTTTCAAACTCTTGGCAATAAGTCATAACCAGTAATTCCACCTCCTTTTTTTTTTTTTTTTTTTTTTTTGTAAGAACGGTTAGCTTATAATATGAGGAAGGCATCATAATAATTACTGGGATTTTATACCTGGCAGCAAATACGTATTCTTATGGTTCTTACCTGGCCCCCTTTAGGCTGGTATTTAATGTTGTCTGTTGATCCGATTTTAGACTTGACATTCTTCAGGTCAGGCAGTGGTTGGTTAATAAGCCGAAGCTGCTTAGGAGTGGCAGGAGACTTTGGAGGAGTACGGATGATGGCAACTTTCTTCTCACTGGGAACCAAGATGGCAGATTTGGGGGTTCCTGGCGTGTGAGGGGTCCTGGGATAGCTAGGGGTCCCAGGAGTACCAGGGGTACGTGAAGAGTAGCTTGGAGGGGTGCCAGGAGTGATGGCGGTTGACCCAGGGGTGGTGGGTGTGGAAGTGCCACTTTTGCCTGCTCTGCGAATCGGCTCTGACCCTATGTGAACAAATAAAGAACAAAACCAAAAACTCAGCATTAAAAAGCTCTCCTCAACGTATCCTTCTTCTCGTAATTGTTAGAGTTTACAACGCATTAAGTTTCTGAGGTATTTGGAGTATCTATGAATCACAATGCTAAGAAATGTGAGCCTCCTTTTTTAGCACCACTTCCTGGTACATTGTTTTGAACATGCATTGCTGTCCATGCAAGAATAAAACTTGAGTTTTCCTGATTTGTTCTTCTTACTAGTAATTACATTATAAATGTGTCAAAAATGTTTTTTGTTTTTTGTTTTTTACCTGAGTAGTAATCATTAAGGCATATGGATCTGCCATTAGTTGCAAAAAGAGTCTGCCCTTAATCTTATGTGGCTCCATATTTACTGAAGTTCCCTCAAATATTCGATAGTATGCAGACCATTGTTCTGTGCAGCAAGTTCATTCTGAAATCCAGGTGGACATTCAATGTAAAACTGTGACCTAAATCACATACTTTTGGACTATGTAGAAAATTATCTACTGAATTATGTTTCAGCGGCATCCACTCATCTTATATTGAAGAGCACTGTGAATTGCAAATGTGTTTATTGAAAGCCATTCAGGAATGTCAGACATTGTTTACAACATCATATATTTTCTTTATAGCTAATGTTGTCTTAGTTCTTAACGCCAAAAAAAGCCCATTTATCTCCTTAGAAAAGTAGGATGTTTTTAACATTATATTCACAAAAAATCTTGTATCTGATTGTGTTTTTTCCTCTATCTTCATTACTAGTTTGGTAATTTGAAGTCAAATCAATAATCTCTCATGGTCAATTATTCAGGATATTTCAAGATATAATTTTTTGGGGGGGCCTCAACTTGACTTTAGCCTCATTTTATCATTTGACTCCTTTCTCCCATTTCTTATACTATGTTTGCCTCATATTATCTTTCAAAATGTATTTTGAATGACATTTCAAACTTTTTTTTGAAAGAACCATGATCTAAATAAAAGTATACCTTACAAATTTCAAAGCATTTTTGTGAACACCAAAATACCAATCAACCAACTAAACAAGCAAACAAAAACAAAACACAAAAAAGACAATAGTTAGAGGGTCCTCTTATTATCCCTAATTTAAAAATGAGGACATTGAGGCTCATTTACCCAGACAATATTAAACTCTAAGTCAGATATAATTAATATTTTTTTTACATTTTTCTTTTTAAAATATTTTTTTATTGATTTTAGAGAGGAAGGGAGAGGGAGAGAGAGATAAAAACATCAACGATGAGAATCATTGAATGGCTACTTCCTGCAGGCAACCTACTGGGGATTGAGCCCACAACCCAACCATATTCTCTGACTGGGAATTAATCCATGATCTCCTGATTCATAGGTTCTTGCTCAACCACTTTGCAACACCCACTGGGTGGGATGTTTATCTTTTTCTTAACATAAAAAATCTTTTCTCTTAAAGTAATACATTGATTTCATTTATAGACTACTTATTTACATTATTTACATTGATTATACAAACTCTTTTACTTTTTTGTATTTTATAGAAAGGACATGATTTTTATTTTTTACTACTGAGTATATGGTACTTTGTAAAAATCCATGAATCTTTTAGAAATCCTGCAGAGAGGATAAAGATCTGACTCATTAAGTTTGAAACCAATGAAGTGAAAAGGACAGAGTCATCTAATGTAATTGATTGACCATTGTTGTAGGAAGGTCATCCTAAGAAGGAGGACAATTAATATTTGCTTACATATTTACAAGTAGTGAGCTCCACAGAGCTTCTGAGACAATTGTGATGTAGGGGCAACACTGAGCTACTCATTAGTCTAGGTTTAATCTCCTGGAGAAACAGAATATCTATTCCCTCTTTCAGTGAACAGTTTTCACATATCAATTAAAAGTTGCCCTTTCAATTTGGTTTTGTAACATAAGGGCAAAACAGGTAAACTCTTCAACTGACAATATGAAATGAGCTATGAAGAGACCGAAGTGATAAATTAGTGAGCGTTCTGTGATTTGTATGGCTTTCAACAAAATTGTATTTTGAGACCAGGATGATACAACCACACCCAACTTGCCTGTAGCTTCTTTTCTACTAAGCTTGTTTATGACCAAGTTTTTTTATGCAGGCTTCAATCAATCACTATGTCCTTCTGAAGAACTTTATTTCTGCCTCGAATGTTTTCTCTATGACTTCCTAACCTCCAAATAACTCAGGTCTTTGAGCGAGAGGGATGTTCTCTGCATTATTTGTCACTGTACCCAGCAAGGGTAGCTTTCATGGGATCTGAACACAGGAGATATACAATATATTTTCTTTTTTAAATAGTACGAATTGGATTCAGAATTGATCCAAGTGTGCTAAGGTGTTTGTTTTTGTTTGTTTGTTTTTGTTTGTTTGACTTTATAGAGATTAAGCTGATGTAATATTTTGGGTGTGAAGAACAATTTTTACGAAAGATATTTTTAAAAATAAGAGTCATTGCTATACATTTAGAAAAAGGCTTTAGGCTTTGGAAAACTAAAGAATAAAGTTTTTGGTTACATCTGGAGAATGAGGGGGGTAATCACTAATATAATGCCATTAACAGTGCTGTTCAATAAATATAATCAATTTTTATTGCAATAAGTGATGTTCTAGTCATCAAAATGACAAATCTGAGTGTTTCTTATATGTTCTGGCATTTAGAAAGGTTAAATTTAAGATACTAAAAAATTAAAAAGGGGTGAAGGGGTGAGAGGTCAATGGGGGGAAAAGGGAACATATACAATACCTTCAACAATAAAGATTTAAAAAATTAAAATATTTACAAGTTACTTTAGTAAATGACACTCCTATTTATCCTGTCAGCTCCTCAATGACAATGTATTTTCCTCCTTTTGGGCCTAAACTAACTTCCGGTGTAGCATTGTTCCTTTAAAATCTTTTCAATAGCTGTACCAACTGCTAGAACATTCTTGTGTGCAGTTAAAAAGATGACAGGCAAATCACACTCTTCTAATTGTGCCTGAGCCTTTTAGCTATTGCTATGTGGAGATAACAAACCCTTTCCTTACAGTATCAGTTATGTTCATTATCAAATACAGTATTTTCCGGTGTATAAGACGACCCCCTAATATTTTTTTTTTTTTATAGTTAAAACAGGTTTAGGCCTCTATTCGCTGTATAAGACTACCCTCCACTTCAAAGAAAAGACTTACTTTGCCATCAAGATCTGCAGGTAATTTTTGTGCAATTTGGTCTTTTGCCCCCCGATTTTCGGTTGACTTTTTTTTGTTTCAAAAGTCGTCTTATACGCCGGAAAATTAATACAATGCAACACGCTTATGTAAGTAAAGTTAGAAAGTCAAAATAGAATGACTCAGAACAACAAAAAAAAACAATTTATATGCAGGTACATTTTAAAGGGTAGAGCACAGTGGCTTGAAGTTGTGGATTTATGAAGGAAGTGCCATTTGTTTCCATAGCAACAAATAGAAGCATGATTCATGATCTGCATTTGGAGAGCACCTGATGATACATTTGTCTTGTCTTAACACCCCCAGGGTTATGCCCAATTCCAACTCCAGATATCTGGAGCTGAAGTCTTTTCTCTGGAGATGACTAACTCTTAAATGCATTCTTTCCAATTTCTTTTGAATACTTTATTTTTGCTAAGGAAAAAAAGACTTTTAATGCTTTCCAAGTGTTCCTAGCACATCTTTCAAAGGATGTTAATACTTCATGAAGCTAAATGATGTAGAGCACAATTGCTCTAATTATAACAAACGTTTTCATTGTTGACAAAAGCACTGTTTAAATGTCATGCAAAAATAGTCACATTTCAAGTGGGCTAATTACTAAAAATTAAAAAAAAAGAAGTGGTGAAGTCAACTATAATGTGATAGCAGTGGCGATTTCCACCATTTTGTAATGGATTTTAATGGCAGAGACCGTTTTTTCAAATGTTTCCACCATTTTGTAAGGATTTTTAAGTTATAAAGATATTGTACTATTTCCCAAGGGATTCTATAGAGCAATTCTCTGGAACTCTTTCTTCCAAATAAATGCAGAGAAGACATTGTGAGGATAGGTTGTGAAATGATCAGTGGGCTGACAGCCAAGTTCAACCACTTACTAGCTGAATAGCACTGAACAAGTTACCCTCTCTAAAAAGGTCAGTTTTCTCATTAGAAGACTTAATGAGGTTATTAATACCTAACCATTAGCTTTGTTAACTAAATTGCATGGAGAATGTGTCTTATGATTTTAGCATCTCCATGTCTCAATAAATGGTAGCCATTTTTGGTGTAATAGAAACATATTTGTGAAAGTATTGAACCCAGGCTTTACTAGATCATCTTGGTAACAACACAGCATATCAGTAGATAGTGAATGATTAGAACATTTTTATAATCTTTACATTCACTGTGATAACTATCAACCAGTACATGATGGGCCATTGCTCTAACGAAAGCTCTGGCACAGAACACGCTCTGTTTACAGCCTGATTGGAAGGCAAATTCTCAACAAACTGAGCAGGATCCTAGGCTTTGATTGTTGACTTTCCATTAGATTTTAAGGGTTAAGTTTCTATAGCTATATATTTTCTAAACACCTGACTAGAGATTTTCTTCATTACTCCTGTCAAATTTATTTTTACACTAAATGTGAAAGAAGAGGGAAACATATTCTGAGAAGAACGACGTTGTGCCAATCCCGTTTAATAACAAAGCAGTATGTACTCATTTCTGCCATGAGTCATTTTGACTCAAACAGCTCTTAGGACCCATCCGCCGTCTGGATTTCTTGATGCTTAGGACAAACGCAATCTGATTTTAAAGCACAGTTTGAGAAATGTAAAGCGTCACTACGCAAGTTCTGCTCTCCTTATGGGATTTTAGAAACGTGATGAGAAAGGAAGAGGAACCAAAGGAACCTACTAGTGGTCCGCCGTGCTGAAGAGGAGAAGGAACTGTTGAGAGAGAAGGAGTTCTCATCTCTGTCTCCCGATACAGCTCTCCGCGGAGGGAGGATGGAGGAGGGTCTTGGCAGCGAAGAGCGCTTCTCTGGGCTCTTGGTGACTCCATCCTGGTGCTGGGGGAGGGGGAACAGAAGGTTTCTTGGGAACCTTTATTTTTAATTATACAAGGTGATTGCATTGCTTTGGCTGTTTTTCCTCCTGTGCTGCTAGATTCATTTCTCTAATACACACTACTGAATTTCACATGCTTGTAAGCATTTCTACTTCAAAACTTAGAATTCACATTTGCCTAGAGGTTTTCTTAAAATGGACTACTTTAGATTTAGTATTAATAATTTATTATGAAGTTCCAATCCTGATAATATAGGCAAAATGAATGTACTCAAGTAATTTTAGCAAATTAATAATTTTACTGAGAAATCTACATTAGCATGATAATTTATTAATCAGAAAGGAATGGCAGTAGGGCATTGCATGCATAATATTCCTCATAATGACCTGTGTACGTTGTGCACTTATGTCATAGGACCTGGAAGCACTTTATATTCACTTATGACTTAATTCTTAGCACAAAAATGATATGCATTTTATAGCCAGGGAGACAGGCTTAATCACTTTATATAATTTTTTCAAGTAGGTAGGTAACAGACGTTAGTATTAAATCCTGATGTGTCTGATATCAAATCCAAACTCTCTACTGTATTATCTATATATAACAAACATCTAAGTGACCGTCCAATTGTTTGACCGGTAGCTATGATGTGCACTGACCACCAGGGGGCAGACGCTCAACACACAGGTATGAGAACATGGAACAGACTGATGAACCTCAGAGGGAAGATGGAAGAGGGGAAGGGGGGAAGAGATTAACCAAAGATCTATGCATACTAGAGGCCCTGTGCATGGATTCATGCACCAGTGGGGTCCTGCCCTCAGCCAACCTGGTCTGTGATGATTAGGCTGAACCCATGCACTAGGCCTCCAACATCCCCTGAGGGGTCCCAGGTTGTGAAAAGGTGCAGGGTACTATAATTTGGTATTATTAGATTATACAATATACTACTATATATTAGATTATATATGTAACATGCTACATGCAATATGTTTAATAAATTTTGTTTGCATTTGAAATTTAAATTATATTTGTTTGTATTGGAAATTTAAGTTATATTTCCTAGGTATATCATCCAATAATAAATTAATGGATGATACACCTAGAAAAAAACATTTTCTAGTTTTTAATGGTTAGACTATTCATAGCTACTCAAACTTTTCATTTGCATTTGTTTTTCATAAAAGTCTATTATTTATATGTCACCCCTCTCAGCATTTAAAATGTTTGCTTTCATTCACTTTTTGGATTCTGTCCTTTAACCTTTTCCCAAATTAGGTTCCTTTCTGCGCCTTTGACTGACCTGCTGCCTTACCTTGCTCCCTGATTCTGAGTGTGGCAAACGGGCTGTGGAGCCCGCGGAGGAGAGCTGTGTTAAAAAACCGTCAGAAAATGTAGTCCTTTTAGTCGGACTAGGGCAGGCTGAGCTGCATCGTGGGGACTTTGTGTCACCCTGTAAGGCAGGAATCTTTGACAAGGTAGAGTTCTAGCCATGAAAGAAAACAAACAAAAGCACAAAATAAACCAAACTATGAAGTAAAAGGAAATTTAAAAATGTATAAACTTATAAAAATTAAATGTATATTTTAAATAAGAACACATGATAAACGGTTATAAACGATGAAAGAGATGTATATTTTTATGAGAATGAGAGATTTTCATTGAATATCTCCTTTTAACTTAGGAATATTCATATATGAGAATACAGATTAAAATATTTTTTATGCATTCTATGTACAAAGTCTCTGATTAATCCATAGATCTTACATGATACTCTCTTAGATGATACTATCTTGTGAGTTTGTTGGAAATGTTCCTTTGATAAACACAGCTCTTAAGATGTATATATAATTAATATCGTGGTCACATTTCAAGAATTTTAGAATATGGTATAAGCCTGGCTGGTGTGGCTCAGTGGTTGAGCATCGACCTATGAACCAGGAGTTCAAGTTTGATTCCTGGTCAGGGCACATGCCCAGGTTGCAGACTCGATCCCCAGTGGGTTGTATGCAGGAGGTAGCCAATCAATGATTCTCTCTCATCATTGAAGTTTCTATCTCCCTCTCCCTTCCTCTCTGAAATAAAATTAAAAAAAGAACAAGGCATATTTAAAATCTAATAATTAAAATATTTTTAAATTGATAAAATATATATTTTAGATTATATACATTGATTTTATCAGGAAACTGCTGAGTTTGTATATATAAATGTTTATTTTGTGAGTAAAATGCATACTGGGGATGAAGTTATGCCATAAAATTCATAACATTTTCATTCATGGACCACAGTTTGTATGATGTATTACAAATTCCAAAAGTGAAAGTCAGCACTGAAGAGACTGCCCACAGAAAGCCAAGGCTGAATCTGTAGGTGTTGATAACCCAGGGGGAGATTGTGGGCAACTTGAAGTAAGTGGGGTGGATGCCAATGGTTTTGAAAGTAAGCTATGCTGGCATGCCCCATGTCTCTTGGGAAATTCTATTAAATATGCAGACAGGTATGACAAAGCCAAGGATATCTTCAAATCATTAATTATGATTTAGTTGTTTAAAAATCGCCCTTGAAACCGAGATTTTCTCATCTCAAGTTTCTAGCTCCCGTAGCCGCACTGTGGAACAGTCCACCTCCTGCTTTACAGAGCCAGCACCTAGCCTGGGAAGTGTTAACTGGGTCAGCACAAGTCATTTTTTTTTTTTAATTTTTATGGATGCTACCCACAAAATAGTGAATTTCAAAAGTGTGAATACAGGAAAGAAAAGTGAGTGACTGAATTGCCACAAATTATAAAAGAAAACTATTAATCTGATGCTAAAAACAAAACCAACATAAAATGAACAAACAAAAAATCAAAATGAAATAAAGGTTTATAGGTCAGGTTCACAATAAAGGTCAATTGAAAAAGCAGAGATAACTATTCTGATGAGTGTACTGAATATCAGAGAAAAAGAAAAGTTTATCATAGGATTTTAAGGAACAGAAAAAATAAGGTTACAAGGAAGCAAAAAGAGGGATGTTTAGTGAAAAACAGCTGGAAAGAATGGTGGTCTAATTTTCCTCAGAAAAATGAGATGGGTATATACAAGGGAAAAGGTTCATTTTGTGTCAGAAGGTGTATATAGTTTCGATCTTAAGTATAAGCATTGAATGCCAATTCCTGTTGAATTATTCAAAGGCAAAGGCACTTTTAAGAAAATTTTCTAAACATTTTTCAAACAATATACACTGAAGCATTTTTTCCCTAATGGGGGAAAGCTCAAATTTACTTTCCATATCTGCTGCCAAAGATTTGTATAATAATAATAATAGCAATAGCAACTATCACTGTTAAATGCTATGTTCTAGGCACTATTTTATAAAATTACTATATTTAATGTTTACAGTTAACTTATTAAATAGAAATTTTTAACCCTTCCATTATTTTTGGAAAATGAAGACACAGGAAGAAAAGATAATATAGTTAATATTGAACCTGGTCTGTTCTAACCCTGCTCTTAAACACCATCACTGACTAGTTGCTCATCAGAAGCAGAACGTGAAGATATACAAATATTAAAATCACAATGTTTTTAAAATAAACACTATTTATCAAACCAATAAATGGATACTATTGCTTTCTATATGTTCAAGACTATATCTGAAAACATCTATATAAAAATTAAATATATCTATTTATATTTTTATCAACATAAAGCTCCTTGTGTTCAGGATTATACAAAAGTCTGGCTGTTATTAAAAATGAATTCCTATTTTCACAATAAATAAAAAGTGGAAGTCTAAAATCTTACTTGTTTTTAAAAAGCTAAACAAAGAATTGTGATTCACATATTCTACATGTTGGCTGAGAACACTGTGATATGTTACTAATTAACATCATTCAAATGATCTGTTGTAATTTTAGAATTTTACAATTTTTCTTTCAATAAGAAATGTCATGTTGACTTCAGTCTTCTGAAGGTTTTTAAAATATGGTTAATAATATAAATATAAAGTTCACAAAATAAAAACTAAAAAAGATTTTAAATATATAAAGGAGTTAAATATCATCAATACAAGCAAATTAGAACATTAAGATATTTCATCTTCATAATTTGAGAAATAAGAAAAAGTATAGGAATAGCTAGTAAGAATGGTGAACGTGGGTGCTTTTATATACAACAGGACATAAAAGTCAGTAGAATCTTAATGGAGGACAATCTGACAACCTTGATCAAAAACTTTAAATATGGGCCTTCTTCTTGAAACAATAATTTCACTACAGGAAATGCACAAGAATGCATTTATAGGATTTAGCAAACAATGATTTCTGCATAGTAATATTGCTAAAAATAACAAAAAATAGTGTGAATAATAGGGAGTTAATTAAGTATATACTATGAATAAATAAAATGCAATGTGATATAGTCATTAAGATAATGTATAAGAATGCTCAGTGACATGGAATTCTGTTTACTGTTTAATTAAACAATTGATAGATTGTGCTTTTGTTATTAAACCTATAATTGTGTAGGAGAAAAGCAAAGATTTTTACATCAAAATGGTAACTGTAGTTGTCTTTAGATAAGGGGATTATAATACTTTTACTATATTTTGCTCATCTGCATGCTTAATTTGCTCAGATTCTTATTTGGTAGACATAATAAATATGTATTATGAAATTTAATTTTGTGTTGACTATAACGATTTATCTTGAATCTATGAAAACTAAATAATTGGGCTCCCCCCTTTTTAACAGATCTTTGTGATGTTTTGTATGTTTTGTCTTCCAAATAAAGAGCAGCCCTCACCAACGACAAGTCATTGCAGAAGACACAGACATGCCCGAATGCCACCGAGAACCATTCTGATTTACAACGACAGTTAAGAGTAAACAGCTAAAGTCTAAATTATATCTGAAGTTAGTAAAACACAGCCACTAATACCGAGAGGACCTTCAAGTGAAGAACAGGGAGAAAGTTATTTTACTCACAGAGACTTTGTCCTTTGCCTGTTTAAATGCACTGGGAACCTGATACGAGTCACCGCCTGCTGCTGTGGGAGAGAGAAGACAGAGATAACCCCAAACTGAATGGCTACACACCACACACATGCTTTATTCACGTTGGATAGTTCGTTGTGCCAACTAATGCAAAGCAAAATTTTGCTCGTTTTGAGACTCAAACTCAGTAACCTACAGAAACCTGAATAATAATAACACTTCACTCTATGGTGTGCTCACTAAGATAGCCCCAGGTTTACCAAAGCACAGGGAAGCACACCAAATAATTTCCTGTTGGTTACCAATGCACCTTTACATTATTACTACATGAGGATAGATCCTTTAGCACGGGAGTCACAGAATAGCACTCGGATTGCTATAGAATTTAAGGAAGAAGGACCCGTCTGGTTTCTCCCTTTGGCATGATATAAAAGAGAGCTCATGAAGATAATCCCCAAACACTTTTTTTGCAGCCATTGGCATACCTACAGGCACTTCTGCCTTTCATGTTCCAAACGCTCTTGGCCAGCCAACTCCTTTCCCCTCCGCACCCTTTCATGTTACAATATGAATGACACACTTATTCGATGTGAAACATATCACATGAGCAGAGAAGGGAAGCAAAAGAGGTTGTCACAGAGAGAAAACATGAGAGAACTTTGACTTTGGTCATATAGAACATGCCCTACACATGAACTGACTGCATGGAATTATTACCACATCTGTTACTGTTGTTTCTCTTGCTACTCTTTCCTACTTCTGGCGTCAATTTGAAAACTCCATTATCTCCAGCGTATTTTCTGTTGATATCTTACCTGACTTGACTATAAATATCTCTCATGACTGAAAACAATCCTTTGAGTTTTGGAAGACCATCTGCATTTAAAAGTTGTGCTTAAAAAGGAAGACACAAGCTTGCGTATTTACTTCCTCCTTAATTTTCTTTCAGAAAAGACAAATCCTCAGTTGGGGGCGAGGGGGATCCTTATCCGTATACTAGTAAGCATTTTGCATGAGTTTCAGAAAGTTCCTTAAGCCATCTGCAGCTCTAACACAAAAATAATTACTGTCTACAATATGGTACGTGCTATTTAGGATTGGTTAGTAAGATTATTCACAGATTCTAGAACTGATTTTTTTTTTTTTTTTGAGGAAGAAGCTGTGAAAATGATGTATTCTTACTATTTCTTTCTTTCTCTCTTCCTTCCCCTCCCCCCAGATTTCTGTGTCACAGAGTTTGCTAGAAGCCAATGTCATCCTGTTTGGTGTATGCTTTCTGATTGAGTACCAACCTTTGAGTAGAGTAAGGAAGATCCCAATTAGTACAAAGATCCTGACTAGAAATGACATCTAGGTACTTCACCACACCACTTGACATTTCTTCTGAAATTCCAAAATCCTGATATATTCTTTCATCCTTTCAGGTAGAATATAGGATTTTTATGCCCAAATCAAGAGTTTCTGCCTGCCCAAGTATCTGGCTAACTTGAAGGAAAATTGAATGTTTAATGAAAAAATGAACTAAGATGTGGATATAAGATTTAGAGATGGCATGTCAATTCCTAACTACTGAGTAGAGTAACTCCTCATCCTGAATCTTTATTATCAATGTTTGTGCACAACTGTAAGTCTTCCACTTTCTAATACCACCTTTGAGACTAGTTCTTGAAGAAAAGCATATTAAGCGAGTCCGATATGAAGGATACAAATACAAAATACTTGAGATATTAGCAGCTATCACAAAATCATCAATAATCTGGATTTCTTTTTACAAAAGTTAATGCTGCTCTTAACATTTAAAACCATCTGAATGTTTATAAAAAGGCACTTCTAATGTAAATGGAAAGCAAAATAGTCCTTCCTGATTTCAAAATCTAATATCTAATTTTGTAGACTTCAAGTATGCCATTTAAGAAATGTTAAAATTAAATATGTCATAAATTAAGATCATCATAATATAATTATACATGTAAATAAATACTTAATACTACAATTTAGGAATGGAGCTTGCATTATAAATATTTTATGGCTTTTATATGATTTGTGCTCCTTTATTCCATCACTTTTTCAACAGTAAAAAAAGAAAAAGTATATTTGAAGAAGAAAAAAATAAGAAGGCAATAAAATAAAAATACACCTAAACTCTAAGAAATTCTATAGGGAGAGAGAGTTTTATCTTTGATTACTGAACACTGAATAATATAGGACCCAACACATTTAAGAAAAGCCCAATGATGGAATATCAGCTGAGAGATACATCCCATAAATTGAAAAACCTTTATAATTTTGTATCTGAGAAATAAAATTTCAGATTACCAGATAATTTTGTTTCCTTCCCCTCCCCCACTGTCATCCAAAGCAAAGTAATTGTGCAACCACCATTTTAACTCAGATTTGCTTTTCATTTTCAATCTCTAAATCACTATGCATTCTTGGTGGCTTTTAGTAAGTTCATCAACATCAGTAACAGATTTGGCAGTAACATTTTAGAAAGCAGCACAAATACATATGGGTTTAAGCAGGAGGGAGATAAATAAGCAAAATAATGAGAATGCATACCACGGTTATATTCATCGCCATCGTCTACCCAAACACACAGAATGAAAATACGAGTCCCCAGAACGTGACACTAGAGCACAATGCCAAGATACAATCACTGTTAAGTCTGAGCATGACAAAGAAACAGATGGTCATGATCTCTTCTGCAGGGAGGGAGAAAAAAAAAAAGAATAATGATACAAGACAGGTAATAGCTGAAATCATTCATGACTACTGAGATACTTTTGGAAGAAAAAATAAAATGAAGAAGCTGCTACGGTAATGAAATTTAAAAAACAGAAACAAAACAAAACATGTCTATGTTTGCCAGCCACATTGCAGAATTGAACAAGTCACCTGTCGTTTTCCGCTTAACACAGGAGAGTTGAGTTGGTCTAGTATATTTGATAGCAGGTTTTAAAATGAATTTCCTGGAAGGAGAGTGGGCCTGAACTTCTGTTTTTTTAGCAAGTTCAGCCTTCTTATAAACTGCTATGAATAAGAAAACACAGAAAAGCATACCATCAGGAGAAAAATAAACACTTGGAACAAAAACTGAACAAAATTTCATTCAATAGTTACCACGGTTAGAATTTCTTCTATAAAAAGAGTAATAACGAATTAACTTCACAAACATTTTTAAAGAAGTGATTGTTAAATGAACCTTTTTTCCTTCTCACTTCATCTCTGGAGACTGTGCTAGGTTCCTTTTTAGCTACTTTTCTTTCCGGGGTGGAAATTCTGCCTCTCCCGGTTTTAAAAGGCTTTTCTTTTCTATGTTTCTCGAGAGATGGTCTCCGAGCTTCCTTTTCAGCTTGCTCCTCTTTAGGGATAGTTTCTAACTGTTCTGTCATGATGCTCCTATCATCATCTGCGGATCAAAGCAAATCATGACAACAAGAACAACAAGAAGAGCATTAGTAACAAGCGTGCAGAACCCTTCATCCATTGAACAAAATGCAAAAAGAAGGAGACAAAGGGGCGTTTTTAAAGGTTTAAAATGAAAAAAAAAAATCCATTAGGTTATGGGATTTTCTTTGGGAGCAGAAAATTAAAAAAAAAAAAAATGCACACCTTGAGTGTCCACCCAGAGGCTGTCAGCATCCATGATGGAGTCATCAATGGTGGTCTCGTCTTTGTAATCATCATAGGTTTCTGTCTTGTACTCTGAGAGCCCAGCCACTTCTCTCTCAGGGGAAGCCGGAGCCTTGGGGGCGCCATCCTTGGGTCCTGCCTGGGCTTCCGCTGCCTCTTCTACTTCCAGCTCCTCCTCGGCCTGGGCCTGAGGGGATGGTCTCCTCTCCACCTCCGGCTGCTCCAGGGCTGCGAAGCGCACGCTGTGGGACCCGGACTCCCCCTCATCGGTGGTGGTCTGCACCACAGTGATGAAATCATCCTCGATGGTCACCACGGACTCGATCACGCCTTTGTGTTCACCTGGGCAGGTCTCCATCATTTCCTCCCTGGCACCGGGGACACCCAGGTCGGTAATCTGCAGGGTGTCGGAGCGGAAGAGCAGTTTATCATACTCTCCCCGCGCTTCTATCTCTTCTTCCTCCGTTTGAGCTTCTGCTGGTTCGGCCTCGGCGGCTCCAACCAAGGGCTCTGTGACCTCAGAGGGTGTGATGGAGATGCCTGGGGTCTCTTTGCTCTCTTCCTTGGGTGGCTGAGTAGATTCCATCTGGACATCCGCGCTCTCGTCCTGGGCTAACTCGGCCTCTGAAACAGCAGGTGCACAAGGAACTTCCACGGACGATTTGACGGCGATGTCGTCTTGGATGAGAGAAGATTCCGGGGAAGTCTCCTTCTTGCCCTCCTCAGGCTTCAAGGACTCCATGGTCAGGCTCTCATGCTCTCCACTGGACTCGTAGGACTCTTCTTTGTCCACGGCCTCCTGGTGGACTAGGTCAGGCTTGGCCACCTTCTCCTTGACTTCCGTCTCGCTGACTTTGGTGCCTTCTCTCACGTGGCCTGACTCAATGCCCATAAACGCATCTGCCTCCTGAGGTGCCCCAGATAAGAGAGTGAGGTCCTGGGTGGCCTCGAATTTAGGCTCTGTTGGCTTTCCAGCATCTACGTTTAGCCCTGAGGCCATCTGTCCAAACTCACTGACTTTAATATCTAAGTGACCCTGCTCAGCTCTCTTTGCGGCAAAATTCAGCTCTGCTGCAGCTTTTTTGGATGGTTCTGCTTCAGCTACCTCTGGCACTGAGCTGAGACCTTTCTCTGCATCTTTGGACACTGTCGGTTCTTTGGCCAAGGCATGCTCATAGGTTGTTCCTAATCCAAACGCGTCAACTTTGTCACCAGCCTCTTGGGATTCCCGGGCATGCTCTTTTGAATCAGTATGTTCTTCACTCTTTTCTAGCACAGTGTCCAACTTATCACTGGCTTTCCTCTCCAGATCAAACTCCCTACTCAGTCCTGGCTGTGGAGATACTTCCTTCTCAGCACTGAACTCATCTCTGACTCTTCTGGCAGCTGCCAATTTCACTTCAACCAAGGAAAGGTCTGTGGCCAAATCTCGTCGTACTTTGTCATCGGTGCCTTCATAAAAGGACCCACCCTCTTCTGATAAGTTCTCGCTGTCCTGGACAGGTGACGGGAGGGGGACGGTGTACTTATTGAACACACAGTAGCCCATGTCTTCGAGCTGGCTGTCCGCCTTAACAACGACGTGGTTCTCATCGGTGACCGGGGGCAAGCCAGTGCGGTTCTCCTCAATGACATTCCCCGATGGGACCGACTTCCTCCTGCCAACCTCGTCTGCACTCACAGAAGCTAGTCTTGACCTTGTGCCTGCCAGGTCTAGCATTTCAGGCAGGTCGGGGGCCATGGCAGCACCGTTTTTGTAATAATCTTGGGGTAGGAATGGCGATTCACACGCTGTCTCGACTTGAGCGTTTCCCTCTCTGGTGGCTTTTCCCTCCTGTATCTGTTCTTCTTCCTCCTCTTTGCTTTCTATGGGGAAGCAAGGGGCCTTCTCCAGGGCTGGGGTGGTGGCCGGCAGGTAATCATCGCCTTCGTCCATACTTCCACTGGTGTTGGTGAGAATATCAGAAGCCAGAGGAGAAAGGTCATGCCCCCGGCTGAAGTTGAAGCCAAGGGCGATGGAATCCAGGCAAGACATGGGCAAATTGATGGACATGCTTCTCTGTTCTATTGCGGACCTACCACCGAGTCCTAAGCTCCTGCTTAGTGTCAGATCATCCTTATTCTTGCTGTGGAGATCTCTTTTCTCCCCATACACTTTTGGGTCAATAGTGAACATTCTTTCTTGAGGAGAACTGGGCTCTTCAGGTAGATCGGGTGGGTAACTCTTTGCAAGAGTGCTATAGCCTGCTTCTTGTGCTGGAGCGCTGGGCTGGGATTCTTTGCCTGCCTGAAACCCCTTGTCACCAGGTGTATGCAGGGGAGATACAGTATCAAAGGGCCCTTGGGCGCTTTCTCTTGTGTCGCTCAGTTCATAGTAATCACTTCCTGGCTGGAAGCTTTTTGTCGCTTCTTCTTTCAAGGCAGACGTTTCAAAGTACTTGGACATTCCCGACTTATCTTCATAAAACGGCACATCAAGCTCAGCTAACGTTGCAGCCCCAGCTCCTTCGACTTTGTCAGCAGCCTTTTCTTCGAACAGATCCTCGATGGCATTCTTCTCACTTAGCACAGCTGGCTCCTTCTCCGGCGCTTTAGCGGTCAGGGCTGAGCTTGTCACTGCTTGCTCCAAACTCCCAGGGAATGCCTCCTGTTTTCGTGTGTCTGTGGCAGGCTGTTGGTCTTTCTGTTCTTTTGAGAAAGCATGCTCTGGGGAGGGCTGACTTACACCTGTTTCTTTGTCTGTCGGTTTGGGGGGCTCACGCTCTTTTGGCATGGCTTCTTTGTCAGGAACAGTTTTCTTTTCCTCAAGCTTTAGCTGAGATTCCTTTTCAGTCAGTGGAGATTCCTGACCACTCAGGGTGGACGTCTCCTTTTTCTGCACACTGTCTTGCTTGACGGCTCCTTTCTCATCTTCCAGAACTTTCTCTGGGACACATTCTTCTACATCCAGCATGTGGGCATCTCTGGGTGAGGGGATTGCCTCTGAGGCTGGTACTTCTGCCATTTCGTAAGGTTTATCCTTATGGGGCTCTTCACCTTTAGCAGTGTCTTTGGCAGTTCCTGGGCCACCGGTTTCTTCCAGAGACTTTTTGTCATCTGACTGTAAGAGGGCCGGGGAAAGAGGCGACGCTTCTTCCACTATTTCATTCTTCATCACATCTGAAGGGAGAGTGAAGCTTCCACTGTGAAAAGGGCTCGGCATGGGAGAATCAAATTGTCTCCCTTCCCATTTTGGGATATCCTCGAATACATCTGTTTTCCTCATGGGTGTCAGAGGGCCAGGAGATATCGGAGCAACTAAACCCCACTCATCCTTCTTTGTTTCCACTGGCATTTCAATGAACCAGTCCTTTTGTCCTTTTGGAACTGGGGTTTCTGGAGGGAGATCAATACCTGGGACCACCAGGCTTGGTTCTGCCTTCGGTTTCGAGTCTTCTGGGCCGGCACCAAGAGGGTGCCCAAATAGAGTGAGAGGCACTCTCCCTTCTTCTGGGCTTTGTCTGTCCTTTTTATCTGAGGACACTTCCCTTGTCTCAGGCTGAGAAGCTAAGGCAGCATGTTTAAGATCTTCACCAGGCTTGCTTTCCTTTTCTTTCTTGGCTAATGGCTCAGGTAAAGAGGCAGTCAATTCCTGTTGATCATGGAACTCCATCTTCGAGGCTGTAAGTAAACCTGAAGCAATTGGGTTGATTTTTTTTTTAAACAATAGGCAAGTGCTTTCAGGCAGTAAGCTTAAAATTATATTTTGAAATGACAAATGAATGGAAGGGTAAAAAGAAAAAAACTATGGAGCATGCACACATGCTACCCATTTAAAAATCAATATGAAAATGTCAGGATTGAGATATATTCGTTGCTAAGATGAGCTCTTATTGTGAATTAATGCATACAGAAATTGTAAGAGAGGATATTTTGACTATTCTTTTGTCTTTTGTTTGGTCTCTTCTAAACAGTATGTGATAAGTAGTATAGTAGAAAAAATTTAGATTTCTTCTTCAGATAAAAATTGTGAATTAAAGAATACTGATATGTAGCTATTAGGGTGCAAAACTCATATATACATGTATATATATATATATATATATATATATATATATATATATATATGTATGTATAGGACTAAATATGGAAAAGGACTGATTTCTACTGAACTTATTGTTTTCTCATTTAAAAGTAAATTGGTAAGCCATGGGCAGAGATCAATTCATTTATAATAAAAGTTTATGATTTTCATTATCTTGATCAACAAATTTTGGGGGTATTGAACAATTACTAAAATTGTCTTTTTAAAATTCATTAAGATTAAATTTCAGGACTATTAATAAATATTTGTTATTGACTTGATATGGTATGGTCTAAGAACCAACAAGTCAATTTCTATCATGGATTCAAAATTCTTAACAAATATTACTTAGTCTTTATGATAAATATAAGAAAATCTGAATTATAATGTTAGTCCTGGGAAGTCATATAAGTAATAAAATTTTAAAGAGTGTCAACTCTATAATATCTTTCTCTCCTCGGTCATCACCTCATTCCTCATTCCCTGGCACATAATCAACTGGAAGTTTCCCTTTAGAGATGCTCCACATCTCTAAGGAATACATGACTCTGTTTTTTAACTTGTTCACCAGTCAGGAAGGCTTCAGAGTCTCCCTTGGTTCCAAGGTTAAAGGTACTTCACTGTGGTCACTAGGGACAAATATATTTATCAGGAAAATATCCCGGGGGGGAGAGGAGGAGGATAATAAAATCCAGTCATCTCTTGAAGAGCAAGTGTATGGATCATCATTACCTTATATACTTGTGTGTCCTGTTGTAACAATAGAAAAAAATAGTTTATGAACTCCTAATAAAGATCAGATGAATGAAAACTCAAGAGACATGGGGATGACCAAAGGGGGTGGGCTGCCATGGAAAGGAAATGATATGAGAAGCATCAGCGGGAGCTTTTAAGGAAACCAAACCAGTCCTCGTTGAAGCATTAAAAAAAAAAAAAAAAAAACACAACAGAGCATATTGCGGTTGCAAACAAAAATGATTCTGTCATTGAAGCCTCCATGTGCGAAAACTCAACTCCGCGACTTGAAACAAAAGCATATGAGTTGCTGTCCCCAAAAGAAACAAATAAAAATATACATGTATTAGCAATGTGACTGGCAAACATTTGAGATGAGAGGAGGCGGAGGGACAAAAAGCTCACACAGCGCCATCGGCCTGGCTGCAAAGCGGATTGTATCAAGGCAATGTAAACCCGGGAGTCAGCCGCAGCGGTGGCAAACCAAGCTGCCACAGGGCCCTGCGCAAGCCACCCCTCCGCTCGGCAAGCCTGTCAGTGGCGTGGGCTCACGAGAAGCCTCGGCAATGGGATAGCATTGGAAAGGCATCAGGTCGGTCAGCTGCTGGACAGATCATTTGCAACGAGACACATGCACATCCTAAGAAAGACACACCTTCCCGGGCAGAGGAAGGGGTTTTTACTTCCGGAGACACCTCTGTGGCCTCTTTTACACCTGTCTCCTGCGGGGCCCCTGCGGGGGCACTCTCTTCGGGAACTATATGGGCCTCCAGCCTAGATTCCACTGGGCCCTCACCGAGGCCCTCGGGTGGGCCTGAGACCTTGGCAGCCCCACACTCTTTCCCAGGAAGAGGGCCGGGCTTCTCTTCCTCAGCCACTGGACCCTCTAGCGTTGCTTCTTCTTAGGGATGAAAAAGACGTTGACATCATGACCACAGAACAATGCACACAACCACAGACATATTATTCAAGGCATACTTGCAGCTCAGGAGAGTTGCTTTTACCATTTGGATGAGCAATTTTAATGTTCGAATGCAATGCAGGCTAATGACTGCTCGGAAAACTTGGGTAGAATCTGCTTAATAACGATGCCTTTGAAAGTCTCGTGAAAAGGTTGTCTATCTTAAAATTTGAGAGCTGAAATGGTTGTATTGCTCTATTACCACTTGTAATATGGCAACATAAAACCAGGAATCCACTTGGTGGCAATGGCAGTGAGTTGCACACATGTGAGAAGCTTGTTGGAAGGAAGAGATGGTGCTACCAGATAACAGATGGTGGTGAAAAGACAGATGCATTGATGTACTGAAAAAAACAAAACACTTTACACTCGTCAGACACGTGCTGTTTTCTCCAATGCACGAAGTCCCTACATATGAATTTCTGATCACTTTATTTAAAACATGCAAACTTTGCTAAAGAACCCTGGGAATAAAAAAAATTAAAAATAAATAAAAAAAAAAGCCTTGGTCTGAAAATAAGATCCAATCAATTACCTTTACAGCTTTATCATGAAGTTCACCAAAACTATTTAAAATGTAATTTATTGAATAGTATTTCAATGGTGAAAGACTGTCTAGCTCAATTTATTTTACCTTCACTACATTATATGATAGTAGAGAATATAAAACTTTAAAAGAGTAAGTAAAATATTTTGAAAAACAAGGCTCAGGGACAAGTTCAACCTATTAAAAAAAAAGTCTGCCTCTGGGACACAACTGTTTTCATAATACTAAACCTGAAATGTTCGTAATGTGGTTCAGGCATAGTCCCCTTTGACACTGAATAGGAAAGAAAATGTGCATGTCATCTATAAAGTCTTATTTCTGCAGCTCAAAACCACCAGGGAGATAACTGAGTGGCAAGCAAACGGCCAAAATATCCCCCCAAAAGGTGTGTATCAGATGCAAAAATGTTAACTATTAAAATATAAAAACAAACTGATGAAGGGCATGAGTTATTGTGCTTCAAATGGCAAGAAAATAAATCTCATTTTACCACGTAAGAAATTAGAGGAAATATATAAAAGCTGTTTTGTAGTTTACTGATAAAATAATTCTTATAAAATTTCCTCTGAAACAATTTACATTGTTTAAATGGCCCTGTGAGAAAGACATAGATAGAAAAGGAGTGTTTTTTTTTGTTTGTTTTTTGTTTTAGAAATATTAAAACCCTTGGAGTTGGGGGGAGGAGAGAACTACTTCAATTCCTCACATTTAGCATGCAGACACTTTCATTTCCATCATTTAGCAATGGGAGTAACATTTAAAATGCAGATTCTCATTTACTAAGGCAGTTTTATAATGTCTTAAAATTAGAGATTTTAATTACAGCTAAAAGACTTTTAATGTAGCTGCTAATGTCACCTTATCGATTAAAGCCTAATCAAGCTAATTTACATGTTTTCCAAATCCATGTAAGTTTTCAGCCTTCTATTTTATGATTTTGTATAAATCATGTTTGTTTTCCACTCCACATGTTCCTTATTCAAAAATCCACATGTTTTTCTTAATTGTCTTAATTTACACTATTAGAACTTAATTCACTCAGTAGAGGTTATAGTTCTCCATCAGTGTCAAGTCATTGGTGTTTTTGTTTTCCAAAAGACCTTGGAAGAAGTTTACTATCAGGAACATAGTCAGTGAGCTTATCCCCACTGCCTTGGAACTACTTAACCTCCTATTGAGTATTATCCCATCCTATATCATAGAATAAAAGGCTAATATGCAAATCGACTGAACGGCGGAACGACTGGTCACTATGATGTGCACTGACCACTAGGAGACAGACGCTTAACACAGAAGCTGCCCCCTGGTGGTCAGTGCACTCCCACAGAGGGTGTGCCGCTCATTCAGAGGCCCGGCTCATGGCTGGCAAGCACGGCAGGAAGAGGGCCTGAATCAATTATGCATTGTTTAACATGTTACTAAAAAAGATGGCCATTTATAATTGGTTTGTATATCCAAAGAAGGAAAATTATATTCAGGGTCATCTTCTCTTGTTTGGATATGAGAATATATTCTTTTCCGGTTGATTTATTTGCAAAAAGCAGAAGGGAGTCATATTTTAGTTTAAGCCTTTTTGGATTTCTCCCTTTTTAGCTTCCTTTTTAGAAGTAACAATACAGAAAAAGGGAGTTCTCACATGCCTCTAGTAAGGTTTCTTTTATATAAATTATTAAAGCCTTTGGATGGATATAAGCTATATAGGGACTTCACTTTCATGTGGAAAAAAACCAGGCACCTACCCCTCCCACCCCACTTAGAAAGCACACCTAACATAATGCATGTAGCCAAAGCCACGGGCTGGGAGGAGGAGCAGAAGGGGACCATGCTGGGTTCACCTTTCTCCTGGCCTAAGCGGGCCTCTGCTCTCTGCGCTGGGACACTGGGGAGCACGCTAGAGGCAGTCCACTGGGAGCGGAACAAAGGATGCTACAGTATTCCTCATTGGAACTGGGAGGGTCATCCTCAGGCACAGACACCGAGATGGAGGGGACTAGGAGTCTACGCCTCTTCCCGCTGGTGGCAGGTTCGTGGCTGGGGAACCTGTGTAGGGGACCCACTTGATCCTCAGCCCCTTCATCTACAAACAGACACACAGGAAGAAACTGCAGGGAGCGCTGGACAAGACAGACACAAGGTCAGACAGACAGACAACACCTGCACAAGGACACAAAGGGCCACAGAAGCAGCACCGCGGAGAAGGATTAGCCAGACCAAGGTGATGGGATGGAAAACGGTGAATGCTTCATGCTTCAGGAGGCACTGAATTAAAGCCATCCCATAAATAACCTTGTAATTGATCTAATGAATCAAATGCACTGACACCCCTGCTGCATAAGAGACCTTATCTATACATTCCCCTCAAACAA